CCCTCGGAGGTCCCTTCCGATCCACGATTCCACCCAGAAGGAGGGGCTGGACACCCCCAGCCCGTCGCGAGGGACGCGGTACCTGCTCCTGGAGCTCGGCCAAGCGCTGAGCTCGCTCCTCCTCGGAGTCGTCCGAGGAGCTGTCGCTGTCGGAGGAGCTGTCGCTGCTGCTGTCGCTGGACGAAGGGGGAGCCACCTTGGTTGGAGGCGGCACCACCACGGGAGAAGAAGCCGGAATCACGGGTTCTTCCGGCTCGTCGGGCATCTTGGCGAAACGCATCTCGAACACGTCCTGAAAAAAGGGGAAAAAGACCAACGCGAGGTTTAGCGAAGCGGGACACGGCAAGCGTGGTGGTGGCCTCCCCTCCGCACTCCTGCTCTCCACCCAAGCAAGACAACGTCTCGAAAGCTCTGAGCTCCCACTTGGAATTCTGACCCTCTCCAAGATGCTTTTCGGGGAAAAAGTGACCGTCAAGAAGGACGACCCTCATTTAGAAGTCGCGTCGTCCAGGTTCTGGAGATCTTCTCCTCCATCTTCTGCTCCTCCTCCTCAGCCCAGTCTTCCCAACCCACCTTGAGCCAACCCAGACGCTTGCGCAAGGACCATTCCCGTGACCCTGGAGCGCGAGAGCCGGTTTCGATTCCAACGAGGAGAAAGTCCTTTGGTCTCCTAAAGCCTGGTGTGAAAATCCAATTCCATTTAAACCTACAACAGGGCTTGAGAAAACCCGGTTCTGGGCAGAGCCTGGCTCTACTTCTTGGTGCCTCCTGAAGGGTTTCGAGTGTTTTCTCACTTGCCCAGAAAAGGAACGAGCGCCTCTCGCATCCAAAAAGAGACTTTTTTCCCCCCTCGAGGGGTAAAGCTCTCGCAGACAAAAACGCGACGGTGGGAAGAGAACTTGAAGGTAGCACAATTGAAAAAAAAACATAAAAAAAAAAAATTAAGGAGAATTTCTCCTCCTGCCCATAAATTCGACTTTCAGCCTGTAGCTACGATTTGTTTCTGACCCCAAATGAGGTCTTGGCTTGATTTCCAAACCCCAGCGGGCTGGAAATATTAAAATCAAATGGATTAAATCGATTCAATCCCATCGATTCGCACGACTGAATCGTGCTGCGTTACCCATCGCTCCAGCAACGTTTTCCTTCCCCTCCTCTAATTCCAGCTGAAAAATCGTGATTTTAAGGACCGCACGCGTTATTCTTCCACTTTCCTCCTTAAATCAACGCGTCCAGGTTGGAATTTCAGGGGGAGGAGTGGAGGAAAAGAATCACAGAATCATCCAGGTTGGAAAAGCCCCTTGGGATCATCGTGTCCAACCACTGACCCTACTCGCAAGGTCACCCCTAGACCCTTTCACACAACACCACACCCAAGCGATGCTGAAACACATCCCGGGATGGCGACTCAACCCCCTCCCTGGGCAGCCTGTTCCAATATCCCACAACTCTTTCCGTGCAGAACTTCTTCCCGGTGTCCAGTCCAAACCTGCCTTGGTTAAGCTTGAAGCCATTCCCTCTAGTTCTGTCACTAATCACCCGAGAAAAGAGACCAGCACCAGCCTCTCCACAATGTCCTTTCAGGGAGTTGTGGAGAGTGACGAGGTCTCCCCTCAGCCTCCTCTTCCTCAAACGAAACAGACCCAACTCCTTCAGACGCTCCTCACACGATCTGTTCTCCAGCCCCTTGACCAGCTTTGTTGCCCTCCTCAGCACCCGCTCCAGCACCTCGACGTCTCTCTTGTACTGAGGAGCCCAGAACTGGACACAGGACTCGAGTTGAGGCCTCACCAGTGCTGAGCACAGGGGGACAATGACCTCCCTTCTCCTGCTGGTCACACTATTTCTAATACAGGCCAGGGTGTCGTTGGCCTTCTTTGCCACCTGGGCACATTCGCTTGAACCCCCAGATCCGTCTCCTCATCCCGTTAACGCTGGCCCAGCCATCCAGTCTGAGTCTCTCTGGAGCCTCCCTGTTCTCACACCCACCTCACTTGGTGTCATCTGCGAATTCACTGATGACAGACTCTACATCCTCATCAAGACCATCAATAAAGATGTTCAGCAGAAATGGCCCCAACGCTGAGCCCTGAGGAACGCCCCTTGGGACCGGCCGCCAGCTGGATTTAATACCATTGGCCACTACTCCCTGGGCCCGTCCGTCCAGCCAGTGCTTGCTCCCGC